GGGGGGGGGGGGGCCTAGGATGCGAGCGGTGCCGAGGTCGACTCTAAATTATCGACCGAATGAATTACTTAGCCGCATTAATATTAAAAAAAAAAACTGAATGCTGGAAACCGGAAAAGCACTCGATGGGCATTTCTGCGTTTCGTTTCGAGTTTTAAGTGGATGCCAGGGAATCCCCACCTCGCCCGGTCAATAGAAGCCACCACGTCCGCGTCCACGTCCGCGTCCACTTTCGCGTCCACCCCCGAAGCCGCCACCGCCGCCACCCCCGGGGCGGTCCCCGCGTTCGGAGCACTTGCCACGAGAGGCCTTCTCTGCCACCTTTCCTTCCCAGCACGAGAACAGTGCCGTCACCTGGGCAACCGTGCAGAGCGGTGTGAGGGCAATAGCATCGACGAAAACTTCAATTTAAATAAATCGAAGAGGAAATATGTAATCATGGAATGGAAAATGCGAGAAAGACGAGTTCGAAGTGACGCTTGCCTTCGCCGCCATGTCACCCGACTCGGCATCGGCTTCTTCCACGCACTCGGTCATGGCTGTCGTAAACTGAAGGAACCGCACGTTTTCGCCTGTCATACTTCCCTACGATTTTTTCTATCTTTTTTTAAATTATTTTCATGGAAGGGAATGACTCACGGCGTCGGAGGCGGTGTGGAAATCCAGAATGTTCTCGAGGGAGATCGTGCCGTTCTCGAGGAAGCCCAGCCGGTCGAGGATGCACTCGCGAACCTCCTCTTCCTGGTCGAGAAAGGAAAAATCCGGGATTCCACGAGGAGGGATGAACCCTCGATTTGGAAGGGCAGACCCAAAGGCAGGAATGGGAAGGGAATCCGAGGACTCGTGGGATCGTATGTTCCCGGAATGATTTAATCAATGTCATCGTTTGAGGCTAAGACGAAAACCGGCCGATTCGAAGGGAAAATGTTTCCTCACCTTTGCGAGAACGTCGGAGAAATTGTTTTCGATGCACTCGGCCACTTTATCTGCGGGCAAACAGGGGACGAAAGGAAAGGTTTCAGGGACTAGCAACCCGTTGTATTCGGCCCAAAGAAAAAAAAAATCAGAAAAGTTAGAAATCCCCAACGAACAACGTATGAGTTTGGCGCTCCTGTGGAGCATGTCGGCGAGGAACTCTATTTATCCGACTTCTTGCCGATAGAAGATTCGCGCTTCGAGGATTCCGCGTTGACCAGAAATTCAATTTATTTGCAAGTTATTTTCCACCTAATAAAATCTCCTGTGGTTCGTGGTGGTGGTCGATGGCGTGCGCGCGCACGCATGACTCACGAGTGCGCACACCGCGATCGCGTGTGTTCTCCGGTAAGAGGTACACACAGCGCGGTAACACAGCGTGTCCTTTGGTCACTGACGTTCGGAAAAGGGCGCGGCGGGATGCGATGTGGGTGGCGTGAGGCCGCCAATAAATCCCACATCGTCCTGGGAAGCTTCGATTTAAGGTAACGCCTTGATCCTTGGTTTGCCCGTTGTGTTAGCTCGGCGTCAGTTCCCTGTCCTTTGCCATGACGATTAATGAAGCGCAGGGGCAGACCTTCGAGAAATAAAAAAGTTTTTTTTTTTCCGCATCCTGTCCTCTCACATGACAAGCGAATGGTGAATCCAGGGGGCAAGGGGATCGAGACCGCCCCCCCCCTCCCCCCTCCCCCAATTTGCATTCTTTGCCTTTAAATTCTTCCGGGCACTTGCACGGGCTACTAACTAGTGGCAGTGAAATTTACTATATCGGAATGCAAACTGAGAGTGGGAAGGCGGCAGCATGCCTTTAGTTTTCTGTTTTCCAACTAAGTTTCTGAATCCCGTACCGCCCCAAAGCAATCCGCGACTGTGATCATAGAGAGAAAAGAAAAAGAGAAAAAGGCGGGAATAGTTCCAGACCGGCTGCGGTGTCATTCGACGTGGAGAAGCGATGGTAGGCGTAGAGGGCCATCCGGTCCAGCTTCCCGGTCTCCCCGCTGGCCGTCGGCTGGCCGCAGTCGTCCTGGGCGGGGCGGTATTCCCCTCGGCGCTGACGGAAGAGACCAGAGGTTTTTTAAAAATGATTTTTATTTTTTTATTTAATTTACGGGTGGAGTCGCTCTTACCTGCCGCTTCACCCAGGCTCCGAAACAGTTCGATCCAGCTGGTTGATACGGACGCAAGGAGGTTATTGTGGTTATGAACAACAATGAAACACCAAGGAAATTCTTTAGTTGTTAGATACTTGAATCGAATGATTTTTCCAGAAACATAAACAATGTTTATAACTTACGAAATGGACCATCGTGTTCCCCGCCTGGAGAAGAAAAGAATTTCTGAATCGTCACGAGCGAACTTAAAATTCGCTTCAACATCGTAAAAAGAGTTATCCGAATGGACTATCATCGCGGGTCTGACCTCTTCGTGCGTTGACTTCGAGGAGGGCCAGGGGGAGAACCAGGATTGCAATCACGATGGACTTCATGGTCGAGGCGATCCGCTGCTGTGCGGGGACCTTGATGAGGCTGGTTTATATAAGGCTTATGAGGCGACGGTGGCGCGAGTCGGTGGGAAGTCGGCGAGGGATGAATGAACGTCGAATGGGGAATCTTCCCTTTATTCGCTGAATGGGAGGCTCCGGATATGCGCCTCGGCTTCCTTCCGTTGTTTGGGTTATGCAGGGATGATGAAGCGATCGGGAATGTGAGTTGGGGTGGGGTGGGGGGAACAGATTCTCATTCTGATCGGATCTCTTGTGGATGTCGAAGATGAACGGGGAAGCTCGTGAAGGCCTGAAGCGGCGCTCGTCGACGTCCACCGAAGTATCAGCAAATTTAATAAAAAGGAGGCATATGATAGAAATAGAAAAATTGTCAGTAGACTAATAGGCAAATGGATTGGAATTTCCTCTCGCTTGGAACGACCTTCAACGGTTTTCCCACATCGGGATGTACAGAGAAAAGGAAGGAACGTGTGTTTGGGTTACGTCATCGCGGGAACAGGAACTCTTTTGAAGGGGACAAGGGAAACTAATTTCCTTGTATCGTTTTGGCGCAGTGTTACGTCTGCATGTCTCTCTGTGACTCAAGTGACTGAGCCATGGGTTAAACAGTAGGGAGGGTGGAACCGCACTGTCGTTTGATATCCCGTTTCGGCAATGTTCATTGCCTCTGCTCTCTAAGGATGTTTTTTTTTTAGTACTTTTTTTTTTGCATCGCAAGCAAATCCCGTAGAGCGGCAGCCCGACCTACTTCGCAAGATTTTTTTGAACCGCCCTTTGCGACGGGCAATGCGACAGAAAAAAAAGTATTTCATTGGTAAGGTAGCATCCTAAGAAAGGACCTTCGAAGGAATGGACACCAATGGAAGTAATTCTCATACATTTTTGTACCCAGTTTACAAGACTCGTACCAGCCAAATGATATAATGCCAAAAACAAACATTTGCAAAAGCGCGTCGAGTCTTATCACTGTCAAATGACCCGGATATCAAAACAGTCTCACTGATAACGAACCAAGCACATTGCCTTCCTACACAGACCCGGTTCGAGTTCATGGTAAGTTTTATTACTATGTCTTGCGAACTAATTGAATTTCGAGCAGCACGGGATCCTCGACGCCCGAATTCACAATGGACTCAAATTTGGATTGATCCACATGGGTAAGGAAAATTCTACTTTGAATCAGCCAGTTCTCGTCCAAGTTTGAAATTTTATAAGTGCTTCTACAATTCAATAGTCCATTTCCCGTTTCTGCTTCATGGTCTGTCGTTTCGTTCCCGCTTCATCTCGAGAGTCGATCGACAATCCTCATCATTTCTCGTATTTTCGCTTCTCGATCAGGAAGAAGAGGTTCTCTAGTGCATCCTCACCCAGCTGGACTTCCTCAAGAACATTCTGGATTTCCACCCGACCTCCGAAGACGTCTGTCATAACTTTACATTTCCAAAAAAAAAAAATCGCAGAAAAGATTGCGAGGTAGTAAGACGCGAAAACGTGTGGTTCCTTCAGTTTACGACAGCCAAGGCTTTGGAAGATGCAAATGCCGAGTAAGGCGACATCGCGAAGGCCTCTCGTGGAGAGTGCTCGTCCATCTCTTCCACTATCTTCATTGAATGCAGCATTCATTTTCATGCATAATGAACATTTCAGCAGTAACAAACTTCCGTTTCCTCAGTACGATTTAGCTCAAGTATCCGAAAGGTCCTCAAGTATCCTTGGGAATTCCCAAGGGTTTTTAAAACAAACAAAAAAACTTACAGAATGCTATAGGTCATGCGTCCCTACTCACTCAGAGGAATTTTATGGGATCCTACGGTATTTTTAAACCAGAAAAATCTAAAGGTATCCTAACCTATAGGTAACCTATGACTAACCGAAGGAAGATTTGATCTTTCTAATGACTTCACTCAGAGTGCAAGGGGTAAAATCAGAGCAGATTAAGAAAAAACTTAAGAACAAATGGGTCAATCTGAAGGAACACACTAGTCTGATTGCATGAGATAAAATGATGTACTACCAAACAACCAATTTTAATCATGCACACTTGTCAAACCCGTTAGATTTTTCAGTCTCATCGGTTACTCCTGTAAATAAGAACGTAACAAGGTCTTTAGCAAGAACAGGAGAATAACTAATATTTTGGCTTTTCAAGGTATCTGAAAAAAGATAATGCTGTAATAATAGATTTTTATTGTATGATAGCTTCAAAGAGTTCATGGAAAAGTTCTATAACTCCTTCATTCCTCGACTGAGATGCCAATTTTGGTGGGGATCCAATAATGGGTCTTTGGAATGCAGGGGACAACTTCCTTCATTATTGACCTCTTCACTAATTTGTTTTGTATGGATTCTCTGACTTCCATAATGAAAATGAGCAGGGCATCTGATGAAATGAAATGGTAAATTCAGAGTGCCATCAAGTTTCATGTGAAATTGGGGAAATGGGCCGCAGAAACATTTGGCATGTTGTTTGCTGCTACTTATGGAGCATGCACTTCGGGTTTCTCGATGGTATTCTGCATGCAAAAAAACAGTTTTAAAAATTCAGGTCATCAGGCATGGCTCAAGGCCAGTTCAGCCATTGATTGAGCATCAAGATCAAGTGAGGAAAGGAGCAACAGTGCAAGAAATCCTTCAGCGGATCAGCCAGTGACAATTTGGAGCACTCTGACAGCCTGGATATCCCTAACTTTGCCGTAAGGTTATTTTGCCAGGTTCCGATCATCAACTGATGTTAATGATTCACTTTATTATGGGGGGCATCCCTAGCAAAGAACTTCTTTATTGTAAATTATTTGCACCACTAGATTGCCGAAGTGGTTCAAAAGGTGATGTATACTTTCCCTTTTTCGTGGAAAATTTGATGGCAATCCAAATGTTTAAGTTAAAAATATATATATACCTCACTAGTTTCTGCCTGAGAGAACTAATAGGCCAGTAAAAAAAAACATTAAAAACTGTAGAAAAAGCCTATAATGAAGAAAATTGTCCTGGGCACTCCCAAAGCCCTATACATGAGGGGTATACCAAAAGTATTGAGCCCTAATTTATTTGAGTAAAACCACTACTTGGACAAGTTTGAGATTTCATTCACAAAATATATTGTTTCTGCTACTGATGGACATAAGGAACTTCATTGTTTATGCCCAGGTGGCAGCACAGTAGACATTGAAAATGGTGCCTCATATGGATGGTGAATTGAAGCAAAATGCTCTGAATTCCTCACAAAAGAATGTTTAACCCCTGAAAACATTCAGGTCCAACTGTAGAATGTGTATGGTGTTTCCAGCAACAGTTATGCAAGTAAGGGGGTTCTACATTTCAACAGTGATACTGAAGACAACCCATGTTTAGGCAAGCCATCCAGTGCTGTGACACTTGACAGCAAAATGGGTGTTACATGATATCCTCCCTCCATGAATTTTACCTAACAAATCATTTATCGGGTGACAGTCAGTACAAGGCATGTGAGGGGATATTGCGAGATGGATCACCAAGAAGATTCTTTTATACAATGAACATTGCAGAACTTTAGCCAACTCATGCCTACGAACCAGCAATAATAAGTCTCCTGGCGGTATACGTCTGTATCATTAGCTACTTTGAGTGCTTGCATTGCAAGATTCTCTTACAGGGTGAGACAAAAAAAAAACAAAGCTATCATTTTTAGTGAGTTGTCAATCTGGCTGCGGAATCTGATATGGTAGGGTGACTCAATTTGGGTTTGCATGTCAAGTTTCAAATCAAGATTCCAAAAACAATGAGATTGACATTTGCTTTACTTTTGTTCTCCAAAAAAGTGTTCATTTTTTCTTTTAACTTATATTTCTCACAACTGATGAAAACAAACAAGCAAACAAAGAGAACAAAACCAATCGCACAAATAGCAAAAACGAAACCACATAATTAGGTTTACGGGGGTTCATTTCAACTAGAAGAGGCTCACAATGTCCACTCCATTCTCTTGAGCAAGAGCCTCTGGTCTGAAACACAACAGATCAATGGCTTGGTAAAAAATATTTGTGGCAGTGTCTCTCAATCTTCAACTATAGCATCAAGCAGTGATGGAAGGTCATGCACTTGGTCCTGCCTTTCATCCCAGCCTCAAGTTTCTGTTGATGTTGTTGACAGTACACTTAGTTGTGGGTCATTACAAAATAATTACAGGACCTATAATTTTAGAGCCAGAATGGTGAAATTCCACATAAAAACTCCAATTGTGACATGCTATAAGCCTACCAAATTTAACCTGTTCCTTCGTCCACACAGAAAGGACCTTCTGAAGGAAATCGTTACTGGAGATGAGAGCTGGGTCCTCTACGTCAACCATACTCGCAAGAGTTAGTGACTTCCACGAGAATTGCTGCCACATGAACCGAAACAAGAGTTCCACGAGAAGGTTCTTCTCTGCTGTTGGTGGGATTCAGAAGGAATGTTGTACTATGAGCTCCTGCCAACTGGTANTGGTGGGATTCAGAAGGAATGTTGTACTATGAGCTCCTGCCAACTGGTACCACAGTGACTGCCAACTCTCATGCTCTCATGCTCTATGCTCTATGCTGCTCAACTTCAAAAGTTGGCTGCCGTCATTCAAAAAGAGCATCTCAAACGCGACAAAGTTCTCCTTCTGCATGACAACGCTCGTCCACACGTTGCGAAGATGACTCGCCAGACAATTTCGGAACCGGGCTGGGAAGTTTTACCCCATCCAGCGTATTCTCTGGACTTGGCCCCTTCCGACTATCACTTGTTCCGGGGCCTCAAGAATCACCTGCGGGACAAGGCCTTCGATGATCGAGCACAGCTCGAAAATGATGTTGGCCATTTCTTCGCTTCGCAATCGCCAGAGTTCTAGGCAAAGGGCATTGAGCAGTTACCCATGCGTTGGGAACATGTCATAGACAAC